CGTCCTTGCTCCTAGTAGTAAGGCCAGGAGCCCCTAGTAGCTTCTTGGCAGCGTTCATGCCTGTTGTGGCAAATGTCCCAACTGCCTTAGAAGTTTTCGGACATACCTGCATCACAGGTTTTGCGCGCTTGGCGCTCCCGCTACTCCCTTTCCACTCTTTCCAAGTAGGATATAGTCATGATCGCCTCACTACGAGTCTCGGCCCCACTTGGCAGCATGGACATTTTTCCAATGCTTGCTAGTGGCTAGTGGGAGCCATTTTGGGACAGACCTAGGTCCTTCTGTATAGGTTGTATTGGTTTTATGATGTTTTATGCAGTGTGTTGTGCAGACGTCATCCAAGTCCAACATGAGTTTGTCCGTGACAAGAGGCCAAAAACGGATGACAATGCATTTTGAATCGTTTTGATATGCGGGAGTCCTTCGACAGCATGAAGTTTTGGTCCAAAACAATCCAAATGGTACCAAAACACACGCACTCACCTATGGTCAATGTGTTCAAGGACAGGCCATGACAGGCCTTAGGGCCCACTGGCCCCGCCCAGGAGCCCGTTCTGGCGGTGATTCTCCGTGCGGGAGGCGCCGAGAACTCGAAACAATATACGAATAGGAACAAGGTTCGCTACTAGGGGCTCCTGGCATCGCTACTCGGAGCAAGGACGCTACTAGGGGTGCTGGCGGTACTACTAGGAACAAGAAGCTACTAAGAACAAGAACAAGCTAGTATAGTCGGCCTCGAACATGTCATGAACTTTTTCAAAGGCCGCTCTGCCCCCTACCTAGAAGCGATGGCCTCCAACCTAATAGCGATGGCCTCCCACCTAATAGCGATGGCCTCCAACCTAATAGCGATGGCCTCCTACCAGAAGCGACGGCCTCCTACCTTGTGTGGAGAGACCTCCGAATAATTTGAACATGTTGAACATATATTTTCGTTGCTGAACGTGTTTACATCCCGAAGCACAACGGATCTAATTAGCGAATTGAGGTGCCGTGCTTTTGTCAGACGTAGTCCATGAGTGATCATGAGTGATCATGAATATCATGAATATCATGAATGTAGTTTCTGCAAATTAGGTCGGTTCCAATACAAGTACCGCAGTCAACATCGTGGAACAAGCAGGCTTATGACTTATGTAACTTATGTTCACCATACAAACAAGGAAGTTCCTTGGTTCAGAAACAAGAAAAAGCTTTTCATCCGAAAACGGCTCAAATCCATTGACCCCGCTTGCCCAGGCTTGGGCGATGGCCTGCGACTGCGGCCGATGAACGCGCGGATGCCGATGACCGAGGCTCGTCCAGGGTGGGGCCCAAGCTCTGCTCCAATTTTTTGAGGTGTGCGATGGTGTCCCCCCAAAAGATGCTTGACGCCACATCTTTGGCCAAACTCAGCTTGGGGGCATTGACAAGGTTTTCTCTGCATGTGATATAAAAGCTGTTATAAGTTATTTTAAAAAGAGCTACAACTAAAAATTCCTCAGAGATTCTACCATTTTGTGGTCTGACGATCACAAGAAGAGGTAGATCAGATCCTCATTTTTTGCAGGTCATCGTGCCGGAGACCGACGGGCTGGCACTGTGCCTGGAGCGGGCCGCTCGCTACGAGTGGGGTCACGAGGCGGGGCGGTCCAGCAGTGCTGAATAGCAGTTCTGAATACAATATCTAAACAACTGCTGTCCAGCAGTGCTGAATAGCATATCTAAACCACTGCTGTCC